ATTATGGAATTCACGCTGGAGCTCCCCCTTTGACACTCCTTGGCTCGTTAAGTCACTTAGACGACTCGCCTAATGCACCTTGGTTTAGCCCATTTTAACAGTAAGCTCCCAAAATGGGCAGCTTACTAGGCGAATGGAGGGGTAAATTGGGCGGATCGCCAACCCACTTGGCGACCCCTTTCCTATTTCTCCCATTTCTCCAGCATCTTGGCTAAGTGGGACAGCCCACTAGGCGACCCAAGTGCACTTTGGCGCATCGCCAAAGCACTTTGGGCGACCATGCTACCCATCGCCAACCTATCCAAGGAGAGAACAAGTTCTCCGCCACCCATCATTGATAGTTAGGTTCCCAACTTCACCATAGACACCAACTAGAGGTTGGGCCAACTCACTCGATGAGGCTGTAGTTTAGTCTATTACTTTCCATTAGACTCTAGCTTGGTCTTACTAGATTTTTGGGTTGTTACAAAATATATCCTCCGAATTTCGAAAAATGGTACGTCTATACCCTCGTTACACTTTTCGTCCATCTCAGTCCTTGCTGTTCAATAATCGGTGCACATTTACCCCTCCCACTAACGACACCCTCTTTGTATACACGTGGCTAAATCTTAAGCCACTACCCGGTTGACCATTTCTTTTAATCCAAATCTTAAAAACCCTCCCCATAACCCAATAAACCCACCCGATTTGTGGGTAAAATATACTTTCTAAAATATAAAGAAAAAACTCAAATCCTAAGTCACCCGTTACTTTGTTCATCTTACAAGACTAAAAATAGAGGATTTGTTTTCATCAATTCTTGAGAAACCCTCAATAATTCCACAAAATTTACTCAAAAGAAGATTTGTTTTCATCCGCTCTTGATTTTGATTGAATCAAGAATTGAATATATTTTTGTTTCATGAATGGAGTTTGATAGCATTGAATGTGTATCATCTTCTGATGGTATAGAGGAAGATGAGATTCCACAACTTCATCCACATATCATTCGTTCTCAGTTTTCGTCCTCAAAGACGACGACCCACAACAACAACACCGGAAGCAGTATCTTGTGTGATGGAAATAATGGGGAATTGCAATTCATCTAGCGACTTGTGTTCATGAGCTTCTTGAATGTCCTGTTTGTACCAATTCTATGTACCCTCCAATCCATCAAGTTCGACCCTTTTCCCCCCGAAAATGTTTTGAATTGAGGGGTTTTTGTAAATTTGCTTACTTTTGATGAATTAAGAAGTTTTGGTAAGTTATGTTTCAGATTTTGCAATTTGGGTTTTGGGTTTTCCCAATTCGTTTGATGGGTTTATTGAGACAAGATTGAATTTTCTTTGGTCAATTGATGTTCCAAATGGTATAATTCTGAATTTTGGGTTTCTGTAATCTGTTTGATGGGTTGGGTTGATTGAGGAAATATTGATTTTTGTTTCTTGGATTATGATATATGATATATATATATATTCTCTAATTTTTCTAAACATTTTTCTGTAACTAAGGGTAATTTTTCAAGCTATCTATGTAGGAAAATTTATGGAGATATATTTTTATGAACATGTCTTTATGGAATGAACAAAGTAACAAGTGACTTAGGATTTGAGTCTTTTCTTTAGATTTTAGAGAGTATATTTTACCCACAAATTGTGTGGGTTTATTGGGTTATGGGGCATGTTCTTAGGATTTGAGTTAAAAGAAATGGTCAACCGGGTATTGGCTTAGGATTTAGCCACGTGTACACAAAGAGGGTGCCGTTAGTGGGAGGGAAAAATGTGCACCAATATTGGACGACAAGGACTGAGATGGACGAAAAGTATACCAGAGGGTATAAACGTACCATTTTTCAAAGTTCGGGGGTATATTTGTCTTCCCATTAATTTATAAACTTTTCATTCTCTTCTAAATTATTGACAAGTTTCCTAGTGATAAACAAAAGGTTTTTTTTCTTTTCTTTTAATTTTTTCCAGCTTTATTGATATGAAAAGAGAATAATTACATCATGCCTAATGCCCAAATTCAATTAACAAACTAAACAAGATAGGGCCTCATTTACCATTATCCCAGTTTTGGTGCTACTCTTATGTATGGGATGTTTAATTTGTCACTGTTCACTATCCTTCTTCCTCTTGTATCCATGTTTTGAAACTCTGTGAATATGTAATTACCATTCTCAATTGCCCTGTTTGCTAGGTGATCTGCTAGCTGATTTCCTTCCCTTAATATGTGCTGAAAAATATGTTGCTTTCCTTCCAAGCATGTCCTTATTTCCTCCACTACGTCTGATATGTTCCATGTTATCGCCCATTCCCCTGTAAGCACTTTTTTCAGTAGCATCAAATCTGTTTGGATGATAACTTTATTGAGATTTCTCTGTTTACAATGCTTGCTAGCTTCTAGTATCACTTTTGCTTCCGTCACTGTGCTTGTTGCATTCTCAATAGTTACCCTTTCGACATGTATAATATCCCCTCTTTCATCCCTCAAGAAAAAGGCAGAGGAACTTAATCCTGGGTTTACTCTTGAAGCACCATCCGTATTATATTTAATCCATCATTCTGGGGTTCATTCCCATTTAACTTTCTTGGCCACCATTCCCGTGAAATATTCCTCCAACTCTTTGATCATTACTTCCCATCTACCAGACACATTCATCCATGGTTTTCTTACTTTGATTAACCTATACATGCTTCTGGTTACATTATGGATTATCCTTAATAATGATAGATCCTTCCCTTCATGTTTTTTCTTGTTTCTTCTTCTCCATAGCTCCCATATAATAAAGCTTGGAAGTGCTCTAAAATACGGTCGCATATCAGCTTTGCATTGTGCTCCCCACCATTTCATGATGATTTCTCGCAATGAAAGTCCTACTGCATTGATACCTGTAAAAGAAAAGAAGTATGACCAAGTCCTATTAGCACAATCCGACTTCAGAAACACATGTGCCAGTGTATCTTAGTTAGGTTATACACAACACCAACATCTAAATGGGCCTGCAATACCCCATCTCCTTACTCTATCATCTATCGGTATTTTAAATTTCCACAATCTCCACATTAGGAATGACATTTTGAATGGTACGCCTTTTGTCCATATCCATTTATATATCCGATTTGGGTCCTCCCTGCGCCTGATATAATTCCATGCTGATTTGACAGTAAAGGCTCCCGAATTGTCTAACATCCAAAATGGTTTATCATCCTCAATTCTACCTTGAGGGGGCTTAATGTGTCCTAGAATATGGTCTACAAATTCTGTTGGTAGTATCTCTTTTACAACATCCTCATCCCATTCCCCATCATTAGTAAGGTCCTCTATCGTCGCATATCTATCATCCCATTCAAAGTTATCTCCGGTGATTGTATAGAGATCTCCCAATCCTGTCCAATTGTCGTGCCATAAAGATGATGATCCTCTCTTTGGTTGCCACAAGATCTGATGTTCCACTAGCTCTCTAGCCTGCAACATTTTCTTCCAAACCTGAGAACCTCCACCTCCCACTTTCCATGTTACCTGATTTGGATGATTCCTCTTGCAATATTTATTCTGCATGTAATCACTCCAGAGTGTCTTTTTGGTTCGAAAATTCCACCATAGTTTGCAAAAGAGGGCCATAGAGATATCATGCATTAATCGAAATCCCAATTCACCTTCTTCCTCAGGTAAACATAAATTGTTCCACCTACTCCAGTGCCAGCCTCTCCCTCCAATGCAGCTACTCCAAAAGAATTGTGCCATCATTCTCTGTATTTGGTTTAATACAGTACTAGGAGGGTTCATTACGGATAAGCAGTGAATGGCGGTACTTTGAAGCACAAGTTTTATTATAATCACCCTTCCTCCATATGATAGTAATTTTCCCTTCCAACCTTGGATCTTTGCCCCTATTCTTTGAATCAACGGTTGGTAGTACGCTATTTGTTTCCTTTTGTAGAAAATAGGACAACCTAGGTAATTCAAAGGAAATTCCTTCCTTAGTATTCATGTTGCTACTTCTGCAACCACAGCTTCCCCTCCAGATACCTTGTGATGAAGATATATTGCACTTTTCTCTTTATTCACTTTTTGTCCTGATAACTCTTCATATTTCCTAAGAGTCTGACTGATCATATTCAGTGTTCCTACCTCTGCCTTGCATATGATAATCATGTCATCCTCAAAGGCCATATGGTTTATCTTGCTTCTTCCCCTTGGCATACCAAATCTCTTAAATTCTTTCTTCTGCATGATAACATTTAGAGATCTTGACATCACTTCCGCTGTCAGAATAAAAAGAGCCGGGGGGTCCCCCTGTTTGAGACCTCTAGTTGATTTAAAGAATCCCTTTGGTTGTCCATTCAACAGGATCGAATACCAATTATAGCTAACCAATCTATATACCATGTCAATGATTCTATCCCCGAATCCCAGACGTCTTAATACCCTGGTAAGAAAAAGTCACTCTACCCTGTCGTATGCTTTCATCATATCAAGCTTAATGACCATATTTGGGATTTTATCTCTTTTCCCTATCTCAGCAACAATTTTCTGAACCAACAACACGTTTTCCGCTATACTCCTTCCTTTAACAAATCCTGCCTGCTCCGGAGATATAATTCGGGGAAGTACTGCTTTGATTCTTTCATGTACTATCCTCGAAAAAATCTTGTTCACAAAGTTGCTCAATGAAATTGGTCTAAGGTCTGAAAATGTACTGATATTTATCTTCTTAGGAATAAGAACTAGATTTGTGTGCGTGATGTATCTAGGAAGTTCAGTTGCACATACAAAAGCCTTAACCATATTGTGAATGTCTTCCCCTATAATCTCCCAGGTCCTTTGGTAGAAGGCACCTGTCATTCCGTCTGGTCCTCCTGCACTGCTTTTATTTAGTCCCATTACTACCCTATTAACTTCTTTTATCGTTGGCATGACATGCATCTCCTCATTCATTGCATTGGCGATTACCTCTGGAAGCTCCTCTAATATCTCAAAATCCTCTCTAGCTTCTTCTTGTTTTGTGAATTGCTTTATGTAAAGTCCTCTGCAGCCTTTGCTATATCAGACTCTTGCTCTAGCCACTCACCTTCATCATTTTGAATTCTATTCACTCTCAACCTATTTCTTCTCCCCTTTACAATAGCATGAAAGAATTTTGTATTTCTTTCGCCTTCTTTAAACCACTCCATACTCGCTTTTTGTTTCCAAAATTCTTCCTCCCTATTAAGTTGTTTCAATAAGTCTGCCTGAGCTCGATGCAATTTTTCTCTATTCGCAATTGTTAGGGAAATTTCAAACTGCGTTTCATGTACCTTTATAACTTCCTCAAGCGTGATGATTTCCTGAAATATATTGCCAAAGGTCTCCTTGCTCCATTGGGTTAAATCCCTTTTCACCCTTTTAAGCTTATAATGAAACAAGCTAAATAGATCTCCTTCAAAATCTGCCCACCAATTATTCTGCACCACCTCCATAAAAGATGCCTCCTTGAGCCAAAAGTTCAAAAATCGAAATAGTTTAATCACCTCCTCCCTGTTGGATTTTAAAGTAACTGATAAAGGTGCATGATCAGACCCATTTCTCACTAGGTGCTCAACTTCTAGAACTGGGAAAACATCATGAACTTTATCATTAGTTAGTATCCTATCCAACCTTTTGAAAATACACCCCTCATCGGTTCTGCCATTCCACCACGTATATTTGCTACCTTTAAATCCCCAATTCTCCAAGTTGCACACGTTTAAGTAGTGATTGAAATCCCTGACTTTCGCATCTGTGACCTTTCTTCCCTCCAATTTCTCACTTTCATTGGTTATAACATTAAAATCTCCCCCTATTACCCACGGAATGTTGACTGTAGTGGCTAAGTGGGCCATCGATTCCCACAGATTTAATCTCTCCCCTTGAGTACACTTTGCATATATCACCGATATCATTACATCAATACCCATTCCACAACTATGTACTTTTAGAGTAAGCATTTGATCTTCATCTCCAATAATATCATATTCCATGGCCTCATCTAAAAATACCCATATCTTCCCATTAGCATTTACCACCACATATTTCATTCCTAACCTCCTTTTATACTCTTCCACACCATGTCTATTTTCAAAAGGCTCCATTAATCCCACAAAGTAAAAATGTTGTCTTTTATGCATCTGAATAAGTCTAGTAAATGCCTTTTGGGTATTTACCGACCTGATATTCCATATAAGAGCTTTCATTGATACTTAGTATTTTTGACAATCGTTCTCTTTGAGTGCCTGATTGAGGCTTGATTCCCTATAGTATCCTTCGCACTTTGAGTCTTCTGTTTAGTATGTGTACCCTTGAGTTTGCTTATTTGTTTAGGTGATAGGTCCCCTTCTACTGCCACCTTATTGATGATTTTTGTTAAGTCTCCTTTATCCATACTGACCTCAGTCTCTATCCTACCCGTATAATCATCATTTTGAACATCCAAGGGTAATACTTCCTCATTACCCGTTTCATATACTACCATCTCCCCATTGTTTTGCTCATTTTCTACTTCCTCATTTATACGTTGACATTCCTCCCCTTGATTATCTGGTTCTTTTTGGGTCAGGCTTTGTACCTGTTTGTTTTCCATGTTGTTTTTTCTGCTGCACATTATCCGTCACCTCTATTGGACCATGATTTTCTTCCTCTTCTTGTTGATCTTTCTTGTCATGAAAAGCCTTAAATACCCATGCCTTAGTACTCTCTTATGTTATTGTCTCACTTTTTTCATCTTTTTTCTCATCTTCGCCCTCCTCTCTCAATGCTTCAAAAGAGTTTTTATTGTGGTATTCTATTTCCCCTTCAATGCGTCCAGCTTTATCCCTCTTGTACTTATTTCTTCTACTCACAATCCATTCTTGTCTGCTTTGTTTGTTGCCAACCACCTTTCCACTTGTCAATGTTCGTCTTTGATCAGCCTCAATGCCCACTTCATTCACCCTTTCTTCACTCTTCTGGTCCTCTCCTTCTCCATTGTCATACAATTCCGGGTGAATTGTCCAACAATTGTGTTCATCATGCCTTTGTAGACAACACTCCTTACAATATTTTGGCATATGATCATATTGCACCTGTATCCACTTGTATTTCACATTCCCTGTACTATCATCCTCCTCAATTATTTTCACTAGTTGGGGAAGCTTCGCAATCAAATCCACCTCCACTTTGACTCTTGCACAACTTGGTCTGGTTTGGTTCTTTGTCGCCATATCCACTGTTAGAGGTTTCCCTACCGCACTAGCTATCGAGAAAATTGCCTCCTTGGCAAAAAAATTTGGCGGTAGATCTGGAAAATAGATCCATGCAATGCCAATAGTAGTTTCGACATCTGGCTCAAACCACTTTGATATAATAAGCCGCTGTCGATATTAAACGTACATAGTCCTCCATTGTAGTCAGCCTAATTAGGATATGTCTCGTGTCTAAAATTCCTATAGTGCATTCACTTTTGATACCACAGTGTCCTGGTAAGGTTTTTCTCAGTTCCTGGATCTCTGACTTTCCGTAAGAGAATTTGCCAATAATTGCGTACTGCAAATTCTCTTGGGCAATGAGTGTTTTGATTTCTAAAGTTTTCCACGTAATGCTAGGTTCTCCATGAATGATGATGACAAGTTTAGGAGGAACATTAGAGATTTGAGGGGTTATGGGTTTTGGTTTTAAGATAATTGCGTATAGGGATTTTGGTTCTATGATGGTTGGTTGTGTTCCTATATTTCCTTTCATTGGAAGAGGTGGGAATTCCTCCGGTGGGATGTCCCCACTGGTGGTGGCTTTGGCCATGCTGGCCGTCGCAATAAGGTTAGTAAGATATTAGGTTTTTGGGTTGAGAGCGTTTTTTTATTTATGATAAACAAAAGGTTTGTTTATTGAATGAGGAAGAGGTGACAAGGGGCGAAAGGGTGAATTGAGCAATACATTAAGGACTAAGCAGTAATAAAACTGTGGAGGCGAAACCCTAGTGATAAATAAATAGATATAATATAAAAATAAACTAGTACACTCAAAATCAACTCTCATCCTCCTTGAAGAAAATCGAAGCTGCGGGCGGCTACGTGTTCTTCTTCTTCATCAAATCGAAAGTATGGCGTATGCAGCAATGAAGCCGACAAAACCAGGGCTGGAGGAGCCCCAGGAGCAGGTTCACAAGATTAGGATCACTCTTTCTTCCAAAAACGTTAAGAATCTTGAGAAAGGTTTCTCTCTTTTAACTCCCACGTCTTTTTCAGGGTTTAGGATCGACTATTTAGGATCATGGTTCTCGGAACTCAAGATCTTGTTGTTTCAGAAATGTTTGATGCAGTTTCTAGCTCATGTTTTAATGCTTACGGTTTTTTCTGGGAATGTCTTTTGTCTATTGAGTAAAGTACAGCAGAGTATGCCTTTGTCTTTCAACCTTATAATAGTGAAAATCAATGGCTGGTTTGACATTAAAGGCAGAATTTTGAATGTTAGAGATGGGGATTTTAACCCATATCGGAATTGGCAATCTTTTAGTAAATTATTTAGGCTATTGCGAATACTTGAATATTGTAAATATTCTAGGAAAACTATAGGATGATTTTTACAAGGTAGTAGAAATTTGAGGCAGACACAGCGAGAGCAATGAAGATATTTCGTTTATAGTGATCAAAAAGTATGCAGAAAGATTTTTGACCCGACTTTAGGTGTTACATGACTGGGGCTTTTTATGGGTTTTTAGAATATAGTCATATAGGCTATCTAGTTGAGACAGAAGCTTAATAATGTGGTCATTTGTGATTTTTATAACACTGTTAGTGAGTGGATTTTATTCGTAATTTACATCAATAACTGACTTGGTACTGTTTTTGTATGTAGTGTGTGCGGATTTGGTCCGTGGTGCTAAGGACAAGAGGCTCAAGGTAAAGGGACCTGTGCGAATGCCCACAAAGGTTCTTAACATTACCACTAGGAAGTCTCCCTGTGGAGAAGGTACTATTGCTTTTTATCTATTCTGAGTTTGTTTTTGTGATAGCATGATATGTCTATGCTCAAGTATTTCATTTTTTTGTTTGAATTGCTTAGTGTTTTGGCTTAATTTGTTCTTAGTCCGTTTTTTGAAGCTTAACATGGTTGTACTTATTTGAACCTCTTTTGCGTGTTTAATGGTTTGCTATACTCTTTTTGAATGAATTACCGTCAGTAAAGTACCCCTTTGTTTAATTCAGAGCATTAATTAATTCGAAAGTGCCTTTGTGGATGACTATTAAGGTTCTTCACATTACCACTGCCAAGTCTCCCTGTACAGAAGTACTATCACATGTATTTTTTTCATGTTTGAATTGCTCTGGTGTTTTCTTGGGATTTAATTGATTCTTGGTCCAAATTTCTGAAGCTTACTATGTTGAAGTTGGTTTCACACAAACATAGTATTTTGTGTGCCAATGTATTAACATAGATACTTTAAAATTAGAGCATGATTAGTTGGAAGGACATTGTCTCAATTGAACCTATTGGTGGAGATGTATGTGAATCCAAGTGACTTCTTATGTTCATCTTCTTTGTTGAGTTAAAAAATATTTCCTTTCTGATATTTTTGTTGAGTCCTGTTTGGTCAAACAACAAGAATTCTCTAATTGGAACAGTTATAAATCTGATGCAAACTTTCTTAGATGTCACTTGGCTCAACTTGTTGTCTATGGCGGTAGTACTAACTATTTCATCTTATTGACAGGCACTAATACATGGGACAGGTTTGAGCTGCGGGTTCACAAGCGTGTGATTGACCTTTTTAGCTCCCCAGATGTTGTCAAGCAGATCACCTCAATCACTATCGAACCTGGTGTTGAGGTTGAGGTCACCATTGCTGATTCTTAGAATCTTAATTGTTTTCATTAGGTTGTTAAATTACCCGTTTATCTGTTTTAAGTACATTAGTTGTTTGGAATTTCTTTTGTGGTCATCTTAATTTTGGGGTTAATGTTTGCAGACGAAGTGTATTAGAGGTTTTCTTTTGTTCCAACTACAGTTTTGCAGTTAAAAGCAGATACTATTTGATATTCAGAAGAGAATGTGCGTTTGTTAATTGGCAATTGACCGCAAGTATTTATTGTTTTTCTAGACAAAATATTTGCTGAGATTAACCAAAAACAATAAATCGGTATACTGTTGAGTAAATCATTTCTATTTTACCCTTCAAAATAGAGAACTCTATTCTCCTCCTCTAATTCACTTTTTGATTAAATCAATATTATTTTTATTATATTGTTATTTAAGTTTTTATTATTTGTAATTATTTTTTAATGTAATATAACATCTAAAAAAGTACATTACTGACATGTTACTACTTCCACTCGAATTAATAAATTTTTCTATTTTTTTTAAATTGTCACCTTAAATATGTAATTTAAAATTATTTTAATATTATTTATATTATACTATATGACTATTAGTTAACTCTTTAATATTTGTAATTATTTAATAAGTAATATAACATCTAAACACATATTATTGATGATGGGTAAGTATACTACTTTCATCCTGCATTATCAATTTTTCTAAATAATTTTTTAAAATATTGTCACTTTAAATATGAATTTTAAAATTATAATTATTTCTCATTATGATGAATGGACAAAAATTGTTTGATAATTCAAACTATCTACTTTATGTTATACTGATAAATTGTTTTACAATTTTTAACGAGCATGAAAATACTTGATGCAATAGTTTAAAATGGAATAGGAGAAGTAAAACTACTACACGAAATAATTAGATACAAGATAAAATTGTTAATTTAAATAATTTTTCGCTATGCATAAAAAAATAAGGACAAAAAATTGCTCATTTTGAACTTCGTAATGCATTAATAGATCATTTATGGAATCAACATGATAGTATTGAAAGTTGAATATTATGAAAAATTTAAAATGAATTTTTTGATAATGCAATATTTATTATGTAATTATATTTCTCAATGATTTCACTTTTATTTGAATTGTTCGTTAATACGTATTAAATATAATATTTGTTGCAATTTATGTTATATAGAAATTTAGAATAAAATATAATTTTATATTAAATGAATAATTTGAAAAAAATAAAATTTTATAAATATATGAAGATTATACAAATTATTAGT